ACCTCTCAAATAATGAGCTGCTACCCACTCTTACATGGGATCAATTTCTCTGCTCATCACTCATCCTTGGGATGACATCTGGACCATTTAAATTTTTATTTGGATGGTCTAGATTTTATGTGTTATTTTATATTATATTTATTAAAATAAAAATTTATAAAAATTATTACATAATTTTAATAAATTTTATTATTTTTAATTTGGTTTAGATTTAATTTAAAGGGTCCAATTTAATATTAAAATTTTTATAATTAATGTATATTGATTATCCAAATGTTTGGACTATGCAGAGTACATAAGAGTAATCAATATAACCAATTATAAAAATTTTAATATTACATTAAACCCTCTAAATTAAATCTAGACCATATTAAAAATAAAAAAATTATTAAAATTTTTTAAATTTTTATAAATTTTTTTAATACATATAATATAAAAAAAATATAATAATATTTTTAATCTGAATCATCCAGGTTAAATTTTGAATGATCCAAATCTCTTTCAAGATGAGGATCATGTGCTCATCCGTAGCCAGTTCTACCGTAAATCTTCTTCCTCTTTTCTTTCTCCTCAGTCTTCCTCATTTCCCTTCCTCTTCCAATAACTATGGGTGCCGAAGTGTTGCAACAAGCAACGTGTAACGAGCACAGCTAATTGTGGTCATGACATGGCTGCATGTCCAGGGAATTATTCTTCACAAAGAAATCTTGAGGGACAGAAAACGTGGTTAGGAGCAGCTCTTGTGAGCATAGGAAAATGCGGAAGGTCCTAGAAAATAAGGTTACATGATACCAGAGGAACGTGAAAAGAGGGTATGAAAGATTTGATTGTACTTTCTCTCATTATGCTTTTCTTTTCTCTCTTCAAACCTTCTCGTCTACTCTGTGGTTCTGTTATGTCAATTCTTGCTGTTGCTTTCACTATTATATTCAGCTGTATTCAATGCTTCTCCTTATGCTGGAACTTATAGTATTCCAGCGAGAGTGACTAATAATGCTGCACTGAATTTGTTCCATATCTCGTATTGTGTGTTCTTTTCTTGAGTGTACCAGGGACCGTGACGCAACGGCAGCGGATAGTAATTACTTTATGTGATATCAAGCAATCTCAGCGGCCTTACTCTTTAAACGAGAGAGTGGAAATTTTTAGAAAATTAAGGTCTTGACAAGTGTTGGTCGTCACTAACATGTTGGTTAGGATGTGATGCGTCATGGTTAACATAAACAAACAATTTCTCTTCCCACTCTATAATTACTACAAAAAAAAAAAAAAAACTTTTAGCGGCGACAAGTCCAAAAGTCATCGTTAAAAGTTTTTAACCATGACTTTTCATCACTAAAAGGTCATCATTATAATAATCATCGTTAATAGTTTTTGACAGCAATAATATTATCACCCCTAAAAGTCCATTTTTAGCGATGATATTAGTTTTTTGCCACTAAAAATATTTTTGGTGGCCACAAATATCACCGCTAAAAAGACTTTTAACGATGACATTTGTTGCCACCAAAAGTACTTTTAGCGATGACAAACTTTTTTTGAGAAATCATAATTTATTTTATGTCACATCACTCTGTCACATACGCATTAAGTGATGCCATGTCACTTGCATCTTGTGTCACGTCACAGTCCACGCGTTCGACAGATAATGCCGCATCACCTAACCATCTCATGCCACCTGCCACACCACCATCTCATGCCACGTCACCAGCCACGTGTGTACTGCCTCAAGCCACGTCATGTGTTACACCATCATCTAATGTCACGTCACCTGCCACGTGTGTGCCTTTTCAAGCCATCTCATGTGCCACATCACCACCACGTGTGACATCACATATTTGTTGCAAAATATAACAAAGTTAAGGTTTGAAGCCTTGACCTCTTCCACCTCCAAGCTTTAAGCCTCCCTTCTTTGCTAGTTAAACTGAAATACACCTACAATTATTATATACAAAAATAAATATATGTTATGCAATTGCATACACAGATATCAAATAATATATTATTAAAAATATATACATATATTATATTTTATTTTCAATTATTAATATGACAAAATGATTTATATAAATATTTAAACTATAATTTTAATAAAATATTATTTTTCACCAATAAATATTATTTTTGTTAGGAAAATGAACTTAAAATAAACAAATTTAAAATATTAAGTAATATTCTTATATACATTGTAATCAATTTTTAAATTATATTTTTATTTTTTAAATAAAAATTATTAAGTATATAATTTTGTTATAAATATGTATAATATTATTTTATGTTAAATATATTTTAATTTTTTCTTCTCGATATTTTTCTCAAAAATTGATAACAAATTTATTTTAATAACAAATTAATTTTAATCACATAAATTTTTTAATAGTTATTTTGAATAATTTTGGAAATGAATACTAATAACTTTTACAATATATGATAATTACAAGAATCTCATATGATCAATCTAGTTAACATCTAATCATCCTTAACCTCATAGCAAGGTGAATTTGAATAGTTATTTATATTATTCTTAGTAATAATTAGTTATAAAAATGTTATTAGTGATTTCTTTTTTATAGCAATGAAAACCTAAATAGATTGGGAGGAATTACATGAAATCTTTGTCCCAAAATCATTAGAGCTTAGTAGAAAAAGTAGGCACTATATATATATATATACACATATATATATCAAGCTAAGCATCAAGTGGGTAATATGCTAAGTAGTCTATAATATCATTTGTATCTCACGACATTTGTACAACTTTAACATTCCAATACCATTTATGTATTTAATTGTAAATAATAATTCATGTATAACTTAACCTAGTTATAATTGAAAATAGTAACTCATTTTAAGATTTTAATTTATCATATTAAAATACTAGCTTGATAACATAATTATAAAAAAAATGAGCTATACATGTCTAAAAAATTATTATGGATAATATAAATTAAAAATAATTTAATAATTAAACTTAACATATCTTGACTATTATTTTTTTGTTTCACAATCCTATATATAATTTATTTCTAATTCTATACATAAAATAAGAAATTTAATTTCATAAATATATTTTGAATAATTTTTTTAATTTCAAATTTTTAAAACAATTCATAATTTTTTTAAAATTTAAATTATAATTTTACAAATGTTGCCACCAAAAATAAATTATATAAATTTTTTTTAATTTTTAAATTATTTTTTATAAATATATTTTTAGTGGTGACAAAAGTAAATTATATAAATTATTTTTTATAAAAATATTTTTGACGACGACAAAAGTGAATTATATTAATTATTTTTTATAAAAATACTTTTAGTGATGATAAATGTTACCACCAAAAGTAAATTGCATAAATTATTTTAAAATTTTAAATTATTTTTTATGAAAATATTTTTGGTGACAATAAATGTTGCCGTCAAAAGTATTTTTGACAATGACATTTAATTGTTGTCACTAAAAATATAATTTTGATGGAGACTTTTGATAGTAATAAATTATTATCAAAGTGAACTTTTGACGATGACTTTAATTTGTCTACTTTTGGTGGTGATTTTTTTGATCAATAAGAGCATGTTTGGTTTATCTTTCAACTGAGGTAGGGAGCAGCCCAAACCTAGTTGGGAGGTAAAACGCCCATTGTCCCATTTAAATGCTTGTTTGGAAGAAAAAGAATTTGAACGAGCGGCAAAACAAAACGAGCGTTAGCAATGAAGCCAGGAAAAGGAGCTTATTGACGCGCATTGCAGAATGGGCTTGGATATTAGATTCTCTCTCCTCCTTATCTCCCCTGAAACTCCAAGCTGTTCCAAAATGGACTCGTGCTCTCAGGTCCAAATCTTCAACATTCTCACCACCAACTCCATCTTCCTGATATCACTAAAACTCACTTATCATGTAATCAAATCCAGCCTTAAAGATCCCCATCTCATACCCTAGTGTCGATGGAATTTGAAGAGATCAATGGCTGCATCGTGAAAGCATTAGACACATTAGAGACCATATCAGAGGGATTTAGCCAACTGGCAAGCATGGACCAAATTGTGAGTGTGAACAGCATCATTGCAACAAATCATTTGACCAACAGAGGAGGTTGGTGATAATGTTGCTGTGTACTTGCTTGAATAATGTGAGGAATGACGAAACGACAGTGTATATGTCATATGAGTTGAGAGAGGGAGCGAGCTTTTTATTTTTTAAGCCTAAGGAAGAATCTTTATTAACCTTGTAAGTTTAATATATATTAATTTATTTTGGAGTTTTTAACTCTACATTTTTAAAAAATAAAATTTTAATTTACAGTTTAATATTTTTAAAAATGTCAAATTAATCCTAAAAATAAAAATAATAAAATTTACTGTAGAAATAGTTTGTGCAACAATAGCAAGACATAATTTTATTAGAATAAATTTAATCACTAATGTGCATTTCATACAAAATAGAGATGAAAGTGTAGGTAATCATGAGCATGATATAGATACTAGTGAGATATTCTTATTAAATTTACTTGGATTGTCAAGACAAATATATATGATCATGAGCATGTTTGTGATATAATTAGAAACTAAATTGTAGTTCATATGAATTGAATATTTTGTAATTTTAAAATTTATTTTACTTTATCATAATTGAATATTTTGAATTTTATGATTTCATTCAATGTTTTTAAAAAAATTAAGATTTTTGACTTATCAATGTATTTTATATTTGTAATATACTTTTCTAAAAAATTATAATTTTAAGTTTAATATTTTTTTCCTAAAAATATCAAATTAGTCATATATATATATATAAAAATAAAATTGATGTTCATTTTTATTATTATATATCTCAACGATCTTTTAAATCAAATCATCCAAATAAATTTTAATTTATTCAATTGATTTCTGATAAACAAAAAAATATTCCAATATAAATCACATTATAATCACAAACTTTTTTTATTCTTAATTTGTTAACCTCAATTAATTTTTAACTTTAGTTTTGAATTTGTTAATTCAAACACAAACTAAGAGTTGCCGCTACAAGTCTTCGTACTCTGCTTTTGGTAGCCGACGAGTTGGATGAACAGAGTGGAGGACATGGATGGCTTGTACAAGAATTCCAATGAACCAATTGAAGCTCGCGTTCAGGACCTTCTTTCCCGTATGACTCTGAAAGAAAAGATTGGTCAGATGACCCAAATCGAGCGTCGCGTTGCAACTCCTTCTGACATTAGGGACTTTTCTATTGGTACTATCTTATCTCTTACCATTTTTTCTCCTCCAGGCTTTGTAGATTGAGATCGTGGGCATTCTGGTTCTGATTTCTTCCTTCTTTTTTTATCTTTGAAGGTAGCATACTTAGTTGTGGAGGTAGTGGCCCTTCTGAAAGTGAAAATCCCAAGGTGTCGGATTGGGCTGACATGGTGGATGGATTTCAAAAGTCGGCTCTCGGGTCCAGATTAGGCATACCGCTCATATATGGGATCGATGCAGTTCATGGTAATAATAGCATATCCGGTGCCACAATATATCCTCACAATGTTGGCCTCGGAGCTACTAGGTAGGTGCTTTCCCTTGAACTTGATTAGAGCACCAATTCTCCGTTGGTAGTAATTTGTAAGTTCTCATGCTGTTTGATGTTTGTCAATTATACTAGTGGGGTCAAGAATTGATTCTGTAACAGCTAGTTTGTGGCTACAGCATTTGTATGGGTATATAATTGCCGTTCTTCTTGTCATTTTATGGTTTTCATTTCTTACTGGTGGCTGGTTGTAGAGATGCGGATTTAGCAGAAAGAATTGGCTCTGCAACAGCACTTGAAGTTAGAGCAAGTGGGATTCACTATGTTTTTGCTCCTTGTGTTGCAGTAAGGCATCATAATTAACCCGTATTCTATTCTAATTTTAAATCATGCTAGATAAAACCATCCCCTTGTAATCGCGCCTCTGTATAAATGACAGATAAAATCATATCTCACTTGAATGAACTAATGGACAGGTCTGCAGAGATCCCAGGTGGGGAAGATGCTATGAGAGTTACAGTGAAGATACTGAGATAGTCAGAAAGATGAGCTCCATAGTTTCAGGCTTGCAGGGTCATCCTCCACAAGGACATCAACATGGTTATCCGTTTGTCGGTGGAAGGTAGAGGGAAACTTTCACATAAGTCCTGGAAAAATATGTTTTCTATGGAAATAATAATTAAATAATTATCCTGACAGTTGAGGATAGGATGACTCCAATTTTTATGCTGTTTTTTTTTTTTTAATTTGTTGTCTATCCAAATAACTTTTCCGAGATTGACTCACCTAGAAGAGAAACTTTTTAGGGAAAAAATGTTCTCTCTGGAAATAGTGATACTTGTAAAAATATCACGTACCATCCCAATCACAATTTATACTAAAGCTTGACAGCAGATAACTTCGATTTTTTCTGCTTTTTTCTAAATTTCTAGTTTCTCTGCTTTTTTTTTTTTTTTAAATTTGCAGTCTATTCATATGATTTTGCCAAGATTGACTCATGCCCTAGAAAAGAAATACTCTCTTCATTCAAAAATATAAAGTATTTTTAACTGAATCTCACACTCAATAAAATAATTACCTTCTTTTCAACTAACCCTATTTTTTCATATTTATCCCTATTAAACGCCCTACAATAAATATAAAATCATTATCAATAGGGACACTTGAAAAAAAGGCAATGATTACACCTCGAAAGATTAAAAATGCCGTGCATTTTTAAACATTTAACTCATCAAAAAATACCTTATATTTTTAAACAGATAGAGTATTTCATTTCAGTCTTCGTTTTAGTTACTTCATTGATGAAAATTTTTATGTTTCTGAAGTTTCCGTGCTAATCTTTATGTTTTCATATTCCCCATTTAAACACTTGGCTACTTTATGTTACAGATCCTCTCATGGATTACCACATTCTAGAAAATTCACCAAACTAGGGGTCATACATCGGTCTCTATCAAAATTTTTTACTTATATGTTATCAATATTTCAGCAACAAGGTTATTGCCTGTGCAAAGCACTTTGTTGGAGATGGAGGTATTGAGAACGGCAAAGATAGAGGAAATACAATATTATCATATGAAGAGTTAGAAACAATCCACATGACTCCTTATTTGGACTGCATTTCACAGGGCGTTTCAACCATTATGGTTTCTTATTCAAGTTGGAATGGAAGCAAACTCCATTCTCACCATTTCCTTATTACCGAAATTCTGAAAGGAAAGCTAGGTTTTAAGGTAAGACAACAATGATGATAGGAATTAGTGCTGAAGATATTGCTGTCTTTGTTGTTTTGTCTCTTATCCAAAGAGGCTAAGACTCCTTCCTGTTTCATCATTTGAATAAAACACTATCATAATTGAAGTTCTTTTCCTTGTCCATCTATTTCACACCATTTGAATTAATGGTTTTGTTTAATTCACACCATTATTGGCTCTGCTATAGGGCATTGTAATTTCTGACTGGATGGGAATTGATAAGCTTGGCACACCAAGTAAGTTAGATTACCGACAGTGCATCATGTTAGCTATTAATGCTGGAATTGACATGGTAAGAATCTTCAATTCTAGAAACCCTTATCATGGTTCGCTTATCTTTTCTTTTGTTTTTGTGTTTTTTTTGCCCTTCTTTTACTTCATCTATTCAAGAAAATTTTCAGGTGATGGTGCCTTATAGATTTAAACTGTTTGTTGGAGAATTGATCTCCCTTGTCGAATCAGGGGAAGTACCAATTGCTAGAATTGATGATGCTGTTGAACGGATATTGAGGGTGAAATTTGCTTCTAGTCTTTTTGAATCCCCTTTATCTGATAGATCTTTGCTTGATATAGTTGGTTGCAAGGTAAATAATCATTCAGAATATTTTCAAATCCTCTTTCATGTGTTAAGTCTGATTTCTCATTCAAGATCTGATCAAGTTGAATAAGTTTCACTTAACCTTCTATTGCTTCTGATCTTATTTATAGGCCACTCCCATCATATTTTATTGAAATCAAGTAAAACTTTAAATATTCTTAACTTTGTCTTAAAATTTAATAAGTTTTCACCTCTATCTTTTGATAAAAACAAAAATAATTATTTTTATTAATTTTTTATAGCATGTAATAAAGATAAAAAGGTAAAAATGAACAAAGAAAATAGGGAAGTATCTTATAAATAAAATTAAAATCAATTTTCTCTCTCTATTTTATAAATAGAACTAGAGGAGTAGTATTTCTTTATTCTTAATTTAGAGATTTGCATGTCATTCATCTCATTGCATTTTGAAATGATTCTCAAGTTGTATGATGTTAAAACTGGCTTGAGGTTTTGTCATATATAAATATCTTTTGCAAGTTTTCAATAGTTTGATCCTTAAATTTCTTTAATCAAGGATTTCCATTTTTCTCAGTTGTGAACATTTAAATGTACAATAATGATTGATAGATTTCAATGCCACTTACATCTTCTTATATCATTCTTAAAAACTAGTTTATCTTCCACCATTTATGCAGAAACATAGAGATCTTGCACGTGAAGCAGTTCAAAAGTCCTTGGTTCTATTGAAAAATGGAAAGCTTCATAGCAAACCTTTTCTTCCTTTAAATAGAAAAGCCAAGAGGATTCTTATAGCTGGAACTCATGCAGATAATCTAGGATTTCAATGTGGGGGCTGGACTAAAGATTGGCAAGGTCAAAGTGGGTCAATTACAATTGGTATGCCTTTGTTTTCAGAGCTTTTGTATGTGTTTTGATTTTCATTGGAAAAATTGAAATTAAAGATCTGCGAAAATCAATCATTCAAGACCACAAAATATTGAAATTGAATTTAAGAACTTTGATCCTTTTTTGTAGTTTTTTTTTTAAAAATATTTTGATTAAAACATCCGCATGAAATATACATTTAGTCACTTACTTTTAAGAGTATTTTAGTTATAACAATAATTTATAAATTATGAAAAAAATCCTAGCACTTAAATTCAATTTCAAGATTTTATGATCCTTAAAAATTACTACTGATTTTTGCATGTCCTTATTTGTAATTTTCTTCAGATTCTCCTCTTAAACTCTCAACCTGTGAGACTAATTAAACAAATCTTGGTACTTGATATAAATTTTATTCTTTAACAAAATATAATGATAATTAATATGAAAACAAAATTTATTAGAATTAAATTCTAAAGAAACAATATAAAAATTATATTGTTAGTAATAATAACAAGGAAAAAATTCTCTCAATATAAGAAATATTTATTGTAAAAGTGATAGAATCAGTATATATTAGAGTCACGTTCTTTATTTTTAACAAATGAAAAAAATGTAACTATTTTATGCATGGGAGAGAAATTCTTTTTGATAAAATGTTCACTGTAACCAATCAAAGAATGTTGTTTCCTTCATTCAAAAATATAAAATATTTTTTAAAGGGTTAGTTGTTAAAAAATGTAAGACATTTTTTGTTTTTCTAAATGCAATTTTTGCTTTTTTTTTTCAAAAATAACCCTATTGATGAATGAATTTATATTTATTATAGGGTGTTTAATATGGGTAAATATAAAAAGATAGGATTAGTTGAAAAGTAGATAACTATTTTATTGAAATGTGGGCTTCAGTTAAAAATGCTTTACATTTTTAAATTGAGGGAGTATTTTTTTATTTTATTATAAACTGTATCTAAATAATATTTTTTTAAGTATGGTAAAAATGTCAAACATTAATTTTAGCTTAAAGAGAGAATTACAATATTACATGCATGTCCCAAACAAAAAAAAAGTTAATTTCTATACTTGGGATCTATTTATAATTCTCCCAAAATTAATTCTTACTCCATCCGCTTAAAAATATAAAACATTTTTAACCAAATTTTACCCCTAATAAAGTAATTACTTACTTTCAAACTAACCCTATCTTTTTATATTTATCCCTATTAAATATCTTACAATAAATATAAAGTCATTCATCAATAGGAATACTTTAAAAAAAGGCAATAATTACATCTTGAAAGACTAAAAATGCCTTACATTTTTTAATATTTAACTTTTTAAAAATGCTTTAAATTTTTGAACGAGGGGAGTAAATAATATTTTCAGTCAAAATTATAAGGTACTTTTAACTAATTTACATCTTTGACTAATTTAATTAATGACATTTAAAATTAAATATTATTTTTCATATTTACCTTTATTTAGTATTACATTTCAATTAAAAAATAGTATTAATTATGCCCCTAATTAAAGATATTTTGGAGAAAAAATTCTTAATAACACCTTAAAAGACTTGAAATATCTTATATTTTTTTTATGATACTTAAAAAAAGGTCTTACGATATTGAACAAATGGAGTATACCATTATTGTTTTTGGTAGAATACACACCATAATTTTATCTGATAAGAATATATATATATATATATATATTAAGTTTGACAAATCAAAATGTTAAATAGGGAAAATAAAAATTTTTATCAGTACAAATGAAAATTTACTCTAGAGATTGGGGAGGAGAAATAAATTTTTAATTTCATCCTTTGTTTAGTAGAGCGAAAAATAGGGAGGAGAGAAAACCAAAAGAAAAACTCCTAAAATTAGTAAAAAAGATTATTATTCTTGGTAATTTCGCCTCATAGTTTTTCTCTCTTTTTTGTTTTCTTTCCATCTAAGTGCAAGCAAGATAACCTCTAACATGGGTCTCTTCCAAAATCCAAAACATTTGACTATACATTTGATGTTAGCTGAAAGACTGGGAAATATATCTAAACATCACTATTTCATCTATGAAAAAAACCTCTATTATGAAACTTTTTAGCTTTTTCTTTTTGATGTAAAACGCTAAAAATTTGAAAAACATTAAAAACAATTTGGGAGAAAAACTCTCAAATCTCACAATATTCTAAATTATTCCTTATCTATTGATAACTTGACCATAACAAATTGACCACTCATATAGTTGTTAATAGAATTTATGGTATTTGAGGTGTTGTATAAGAAATAGAAGTAATTTTGATGCAGAATAGGAAAGGAAAAGGGGGAGAGAATATAGAAAAGAAAGAAAGGGATCGATAGAGAGAATAGATAGAAGAGAAAATTTAGAGGAGAGACAAGATGACAGTAATTCTTATTCAATCAAATGTGCGTACAAATCAAATGAGTTGAGGTGCTATTTATATGCCTCAACCTAACCTTAGAAATAAATGCATGAAAATTATAGATATTCTAAAATTAAATAAAAAAGATAACAATAACTGAAAAGATAATAATAAATATTGAAAGATAATAATAATTCAAATTAAAACAAAATATGTGTAATTAATATGAGAGTAAAATATCTTCGATCTTCAAATATGCAATATTCTTGAAATATCTTTAATTATTTCTTTTTTTATTTCTTCCCATCATTTCTCCCCTGCTTGAAAAACTCTCCCCCGGAGAGTAAAATTATGGATATGCTTTGGAAGTATGATAGGATCGAGAGATTTTGAGTTGTGTCTCTATTTGGAAATTCTTTCTAGCAAATTAGATACCAATAAATGACATTAAGTGAACAGTAAATAATTTGAGCATGTAGAATCACAAAATGCAAGTCTGGAAATCCTTTCCAACAAACGAGGTAATGTTGGAGGGGACCATGTGGTTCAAGAACAATTTGTTCTTCCAGAGCTACAATAACCTTAATATTATGTGGTGCAGTAGACTAACAAGGTAAAATAAGAGTAGGATCAAATTGCATACCATCATTAATAGTTTCAAATGGAATAGCCATCATAGATAGAATTTGTATCTGCAGTTGCTCTATCATATTACTGGCTTCTACTTGTTTCTCAACATCACCTATCTTTAGAGTAGGTGTTAGAATCTTTAGAATGGTTTGAAACCTCCTTCACATCTAGATTGTCACATAAATTAATCCCAAAATTATCAACACCATTGTTTTTTGGCATTATTGACATAGGTAAAAGGTCTTTGTTGAGCATGTTATCCCCTTTAGAAGTTAAAATATTAAGGTCACAGTGTAGTTCTAAGATACTATTGATAAGATTAGAAGTTTCTTCCTTTCGATATGACCTCTCTCTCTCTCTTTCTCAACTTGATGGCAATACCCTTCTTTTAATGTTGATTGAAAAGAGCTTTAAAGTTCATCAATTTTATCTCTCACAAGTTTCAAGCTTGAATGTATGAAATCCAAGTCCGATTAATCAACTAAATCATATTGGTAATATAAAAGGTGTCCTAAATTAGGACTTAATCATCAGACTAACTATAGTAAATCAAGAACTAACCCAAAAGGATTATCCTATAAGAGATTAACCTAAATAAATTTTTAACATGTATTTTCACAAATGATTCAACACAAAGGGATCCCAAGTCTTTAAAATATTTCAAGAACCCATATCATTTAATTAGACATATGCAAAAGCATGCTAAAGGAAACATATCCACAAGGGAGAAAAGCTTCCCTCTTTATTTTCTCTCTATGCCTTATTCTATAATACATATATACATATTTACAACATAACACTTGGCCACTCAAACCCTTCAGTAACTGGCAGCGGGCGTCCAAGGTCTCAATCACATTTATCACAATGACTATTACCTAGTCATCATACTTTATATATCATCTATTCATCAATAGCCCATCATATGTATGGATTTTTTTTCATTCACATATGAATAATATCAACTGCTCACCCTTGGACATCAAAAATACAAGGGGAGACCATAACAACATTCAAGTTCTCAAATTAAGCAGATATTAATTATTTTCACTTGCACAAATATTTTGGCCCATTAATATAGCACAAGCATCAAGCCATATTCCCCAAAGCCTAAAATACATTTCTACCCAACACAAAACCCATAATGCAAGTGGATCAAGAATATATTATCCTAGTTGGCAATATTATAAACTAAATACACATATTAAAATAAAAAGAGAAAGGCCTACAGAAGTGATTACTATCACTTGGCCTAATGCTCCTTTCCTCTGTTCTTCTGAGATGAGCTAACTCCTGTAATATGTTAAAAGAGAGGAGTGAGTACAACCAGTCAGTAACCAAGGTATATCTAAGTTATACAAATGCATGATAATTAATCATGAATACAAGTGGCTGATAAATTTATCAAGGTGACCATGTAAACAATGACATTAAGAATATGTTAATCTCATTAACATCTAACTTATGTGAATAATCTCAAGAGTAAAGTCAAGTATAAAATTTGCACAAATGGCCACATATACATTGTTTGCATAATTACTACATATTCTCATTTATACAATTATAATCATATTCTCAATATAGCCATCAATCACTCAAATAGCATGATAATAATAATATGCATGATTAATCTCTTCCTTATATCTCCCCTTATTTTTTCTAACCTGAAATCAGTAGGCCAACAACCAGAAGGGATCGTCCATGTGTTGAGATTACCCAAGACCTTAATCATATCATGAGGGGCTACCGGGTCAGGGTTACCTTACTCACTTATGAACACGGTTTCTCCCAAATTACACACTATGGGGTGTCATACCTAAAACTAGCTTTACCCAAAACTCTAGGTAGGCTAATAGGGTCAAGTCCCTTAATAGAAACAATGCTACAGTACCTTACAAGGTATGTAGCAGCTATAACCCCTAGGATTATTGGTTAATAGCCAAGTACCATATGAATTTTGCATAATCGCTAACTCTTTCATTGAGATGAACTCCCATCATATGATC